GGCGCCCAGTATCTGAGCCTGAGTTTCTAGAAGAATCCAGACTCAGGTGACCAGAAGGCAAAGCCACTCTCTGAACTCGACAGAAACGGGCCCAGCAGCGAGTTTATTGTGGGGTGATGAGGCCTCCCAGCCTCCCGGCCTCCCGGCCTCCCGGCCTCCTGGCCTCCTGGTCTGCAGGGGACTTTAGGGCCAGGGCTCCGTGAAGACGCACAGCAGCCGAGCCAGGAGCACCAGGCCCAGGATGGCCACGGCCCCCAGGGCCACGTCCCACCAGACCCCGGGGTAGACCCCGGTGTCCTGGATGTCCCAACCGCAGTTGCCCAGTTGGAAGCCGGTCAGGTGGCCCAGGGGACGGCCGGTGGCCGGGTCGGGGCTGGCGCAGCGCAGCTCCTCCAGGGCCTCGGGCAGGCGGTCCTCCAGCCAGAGGCGCAGGTAGGTGAGGTGGCAGTCGCAGTGCCAGGGGTTGCCGGCCACCTCCAGGGTGTGCAGCTGGGGCAGGTGGTCCAGGGCCCCCGGGGACACTGTCGTCAGGCTGTTGTTGGACAGCAGCAGGCGGCGGGTGCGGGCGGGCAGGGCGGGCAGCGTCCCCAGGCCCCGGGACCCGCAGTCCACGGCCACCTCCAGGGTGTGCAGCTGGGGCAGGTGGTCCAGGGCCCCCGGGGACACTGTCCTCAGGCTGTTGTTGGACAGCAGCAGGCGGCGGGTGCGGGCGGGCAGGGCGGGCAGCGTCCACAGGCCCCGGGACCCGCAGTCCACGGACAGCCCCATGGAGGGCAGGCTGCGGCAGGCGCAGGGGACAGGGCAGTCGGGCGTGGCCTCAGCCAGGGCCCAGCACAGGACAAGGACGCCCCAGGCAGCCATCAGGGCAGGCGGGCTCTGTGGGCACAGGGGACCCGCTCAGGACGGCCTGGTCACCCACACCCAGGACCAGGCCCCCACGGTCCCCCACTGGGCCTCGACGTTCCCCTCTGTGAATTGGGTGACAGAGGGCGGCCAGCTTCCATGGGGACCTTGTCCTGCTGTGGCTGTGAGTGTCCCCGTGGAGCACCAGGGA